GTACCGTTCATCGGCGTCGCCTACAAATAATCCGTGGCTGCTCCCAACGTGCCGTAATTGAAGAAAAGATCCGAAGATCTAATTGTTGGGCGCCAGGTGCGGCTTTCCCGCACCACCATCCCTCATCACGGCCGTTTTCAGGTTTTCCGGCGGCTCAGCCTCAGCGCACTGAAAATGGTAGAGGGGAACATGGGGGCGAGGAGAGAGAATTTCGGAGTCAACGGATAGGCGCGCAAAATGATAAAACAGCGAGTAGGATACCGTTCCGTTTATTACCATCAAATAAACGGCGGATTTTACAATACAAATCCCGTCGCTTACAGTGTGTCCTCCAACGGCGGTTCACGACTATTCCGAGTCGTGATTTCTAGCCTGCCCCAGACCTGTCCCTATCTCGGTGTCCCTACCGAATCCGCGAATCCCCTCGCGGCGCGATTCGCGATCCTAACAGGTCTCGTTGGAGACGAGCCTTTCCTTCCTCGGGAGTGTGCCCTCTGACGTCGGTAGCCACCTGAGGCATCCATGTGTCCGCACCACTCCCGCTCGGCTATCTTCTCGCCCAAGATATTTTCTGAATAAGACCGCCCTCACGGTACTTACCGAGAACTGGCTGTTCCGTCAGTCCCGTACCAAATCCAAATCGTGGTGGCCGTGTCCCTTCCGCCTATCCCCGTGGTGCCGCATCCCGGCTCCACGAGGGTGTCCATCAAACACTCGGAATTTCACACACTCGTCCCCGCACTGGCAGTACACCATACAAAAAAACCCGGGAACCATAGTTCTTTGCGAGAGATCCCGATAATCGCGATCCGCGATTATCCGATAGCTCCGCTATCGCCCGAGCCAGGAAGAAGGACTCATTTTTCGCGGTCCGCCGGACACCCGAGTCCTTACACGCGGAATCCCCGCGACACACTCTCTTTATCCTACCTACCGCTCTCCGCGGTAGGTCAAAAATCAAAACAAATCTCCTCTCCGGCGCCCTCCCCGCGGAGCCGCAAACCGTAGCCGACCAAAGTTCCCGGTGCACCGGCAGTACGTTCTTGCGGTTGAGCACCCCTTGCGTGCGGGCTCAACCCAAAAGGGCCCCGTTCCTCCGCCGCCAGTCCATTACTTTCCCCCGTTCCCGCCTCCCGAACCACGGACCAACAAACTCTTTGGAGATGGAGGCCGGAGGCACTGCCGTGCCGTCGGCAGCGCGCGGAGGTGCGGGGCTTTTGTAATGTGTCGTTCTGACGCCACGTTACAATATATTGTAACGTTTGTCGATAGTGCAATTTCGTACGCTCCTTATGAGTGTACGAAATGGGATGTAGGTAAGTGCTCGGGGCTGGCGTCTTTGAAGAATGTAGTCGACACAGGTGGGTAAAGTAAAATAAAATAACAAAATTTTATTAAATACTCGATAATCGGTACAGAAGTTTATAATCGGTGTCAATTACTCAGTCGAAATCAATGGTCGGTATTGTAGGAAACAGGATTATTTAGGAATCGGCCGATGTTTGTTTTCTATTCCTATCTCTCTCCGACCTGTATGTGAGGTACAGAGGATCTGCCTGTGTTGGTTTCATAGCCCTAGTCGTACTTTGCCGACCTATTGGTTATGGCACTGTGTGCGACGCAACTACTAACGGCGCGGATGACAGATTATACAAAATGGCGATAACTACAGTTTCTGCGGAAGATCACGGTGGTCTCCGCAGAAATCTGACAATCTTTCCACGTGAGGTCGACTCGGAATAGCGAGTGCTAATATCCCGTAGCTTTCTCGACACGATTATTAACGATGAGTTTTCTGACCAACTTACGACTATCCTCTCTATCGATTTGGATTACCGATTAACTTTCGTTTATCCTCTCTAACAATTCGGACTTTTGGTTAACTTGCTTTGATTGACTTGAAATGTCGTATATGACTGATTGTAATCTGCTATTTATTAGCGGGAAGCGCTAATCATCTATCGGATTACTTTGATACTAACTTTCCGCGTTTTGACTTTCGGGAGATGTTCTCCATCTATCGGCGCGTGTTCATACAAGCCGCGTGTCCTTGTCGTCCCTTTGTAACGGGTGCACTCTCAGTACAGGAGTACTGAGAGGTTGATCGTTTTGTCACGTTACAATATACATATAAAAGGTATTAAGGTACCTCATTATTAAATTAATGAATGAGGTTTATTCATAAACGAAACATGAGTACCTGAATTCATCAGGGGCCTCGGGATTTCTCGGTGGTGTCATAAGAAAAGGTAAACATGGATATCCTGAATCTCCGACGAACATTCCATCGAATTCTCTTTTCATGCATCGCATATATAATCGAGAGTTTCGGAATATTCGACTGTCATGTGCACTGCTAGGCCATTCTGGTACAATATCCAAAAATTCCATTCAAGGACCAACGACAGCCTGTTTTTCAAATGTTTACTTTACCAGATATTAAAGATAAAATTGAATTACAATACATACTTGTACATTGAGCAAAAAGTATCCTTTTCTGTTTCGATAAATTTCTTCCATATTTTGGAATTTTGTTGATGTTAATCTTATGTGAGTGCAATCAATAGCTCCGTCCACACCTGGTAAATCAATAGCTCCATTTCTTTTTCCAAGATTATTAAATAACCGCTGATTTTCAATATGTGCTTCTGGATCTCTTGGCGTTTTTATGTAGTCATTGATCAAACTGGCAAGCAATAAACTGACACGAAGAACTACTCGTGATATAGTTGTTTGTGGGACGGTCATTGTATCACCAAGCAGAAGCTATAAGTATTACAAATAAAATTATATTTTGTCGTTGAAATTATAATAGAAAATATAATGAAATTAGTAAATACAAGTCTCCTTACAAAAAAAAAGCATGGTGAAACAATTTTGCTATATGTACTTGTCTACTCTTGATATCATATTCTACTTGCTCGACGTACCTGAAAACTTGCCGTAGAGTAATATCACAAACAGATTAATAGCTGCATCACAGGTGAAATAGGTAAACCACTATTATTAATTCTTGCAAGTCCTTCTTCTATTTTTGGTAATACTTCATACAAAATGCAATCCTTTCTAAAACGATAGCGTCTCTTGAATTCATCGTCATTATACAGTTCAGAAGGATTTTGCCCATCACGAATATCAATATCGCCGTCATCATTTTCAATATCAATCAAATCAACCAACTCCTTCATCATTTGCAGGTTCTTAAGCCGTCTATGATGTCGACCAGGTGGTGCCAACTCTCCTCTTGTGAAAACTTAACACTGATACTGAAGTGCCATCTGTGTGAAATCGTCAAAGAGAAACTAAAAATCAATATGGCTGTTCGTAGCGGGTTATTCAAAAAGCACTAGGCTACCGGCTTTGCATTATTGAAGCTTAAAGATCTTTATTTTTAATGCATAGGAAATTAGGAAATAACATTTTAACACAACAGTAAAATCTAGGTTTTACGGGCTTTATTATGTATAGCATTACACTTGCAAAATGCCTGTTTATCAATGAAGCTACGATCTGTGCTTCGTCGTGCTTTACCGCATAAAATTTGATTTATTTTTTTGCACCACATATTAATTTGATGCTCCGAAGTGAAGTTAATTTAAGATTCTTTTAATTTAGAACTATGTGTCGTACAACTAATTCACAATAGTTCAAGGGAAACATATAATATTGTTTCAAGCCTTATTTGTAGGTTTTTGCAGTAGCATGCGGTGGGTAATTGCTCATTTACGACAGTCACAGCGTTATCGAAAAATTGAATCAAATTACGATGTAATTTTTGTAACTCCCCTGTTCCTGCATCAGAGAACAATACATCATTACAAGATTTGCAATTGGCTGTCTCTGGATTATTGCACAGTTTCTTCGTGAATGTAGTTGCTGTAACATTTCGAAAACGAGCCACTGCTTTCTTTTGGCATGATACATCCTCGACTATGAGGGGATCAATGTAATCGTTGGATGAAGTCTCCATGTGTTCGGTTTGCCGAAGAAATTTTTTTAAGGTGAACAGTAAATCTCCGTCACACTTAGATTCGCAATTACTTCCCACCGCATGACGGGATGTTAAATTATTTATTAATAAGTTTTTGAAGCTACTTTCGAATTAGCTGCATGTAGGATTGGTATTGCGATGCCCAAGGGATCTAATTAAGCCAAAAAAGTTCTCCAAAGAGTCTTGATTGATCATTCGTAGCTTAAAATTTCTGAACCCTGTATTTTTTAAGGATTTCCACAGTTTCTGAAATCCTTGTATCGTTAAAATCCAATTCCTAAGGCACGTTGCACGTTTCGTGGGTTTCTTCGTTTTGCAATCGACGTATTGCATCTCACGTAACTGTACTACAGCAATACGCCAAAATGATTTGTGAGGACTGTGATCAGATACTACAACGCGCAGAGGAGTCTCCGGTTTCAACGTGTGTCCATTAACGGAATCGAACAAATCATTGAAGAAGAGTAATGCCTTCGCTGTTACTTCTCCTTTTTTTTTTGGCATGGAAAGTTTCCCATGTTCGGTATTAATATGTCCTGGAATAAATTATACAAAGATCTTTAAAATGATATTATTACAATAATGGAAGGAGTAACGCAAAGGAAGATTTTGTAAAAGGGTAATCCAATACCTTCGAGTCTCGTATAATGATGTATGAAACCGAACTGTCTTCGAAAGTTCTACATCTATAAGCTTAACACTAAAAAATGGAAATTGTTGTGGTACAGCCGTTTCCGAGATTTTTGGGTATTAACATATTGAACCGTCAACACGTAGATTTTCCTCGCCTAAAACTTGAGGCGTTTGCCGCTATGAGCGCTCGTGTATCCGTGACGTCAACATGCGCTGTAGAGGAAACGCAGAGGACAGACTGAACGGACAATCGGCTACATGACCGTACTTATCGGGGCCCCTGCAGGGTAGCCTATTATGTGCAGTGCGAGAACGTAATAATACTTGCTGTTTCATTGTTGCGTAATACCTGTTCTTTATTAAATTTCCGATTGATAAAATGCTCAATTTTTTTAATGGAATATTAAATGCGCCTATGCTTCGAAACTAATGCGAAATAAATGTTACATCGAAGCATGACTATCTTGTATGTATGTACCACATCACGACTGTAGGTGAAAATGTCGAAATGAAACTTGAAAGGCCCATCCTGGAATTCGCAGCAGAACTGAAATCTTGGTGGCTCCGCAAACACGGTCTGTCTGGCAGATTAGCCTGTGCGCTGACTATTGCTGGCCCATCCGCACGTCGAAGAGATGAAGAGAACAGCCCACTCCCGACGGAAGTAGCGTCAACCCTCGCGGACCTCGTTGATACCATCAACGTCGACGGATCCAACTACTGTCACCGACAAACAGATATCCTCGAGCCGAGAAATACTAACGGTGACGAATACCGATAAGTGTTTGTTGAATTTGCCAGAGAACCACCAAGCACCGCAAACTCCTTCGAAGCTTCCATCGACGTCCGGGGTGTCTCAGTCCCATTCTACGCCAGAACATCTTAACGCCACGAGTGCCTCCTCTGATCCAGGCGCGGACAATAGCGTGGAGAAGTTACGGGAAGAACGAGTCCCCAACGTCACCTTTTCGCTGAGTTTGACATGGAATCAGCAGAAGCAGATTCACTCAACCCAGCACAAATTATCGTCAAAGACTGCGGAGCCTTCGATGTCCCAGGAAAGAATAGACTTCGAGGCGAGCAAGTCGGTTTCCTGGAATTTGTCACATAAACAGCTGGCACATATGGACTCAATGCAGATCGAAGTACCGCCAGAGACTTCGGAGATTCCGATGCTGCATAAAGGATTGACCTCCGACGTGAGCAACTTGTATCTGTTCAACTTGTTTGACGAAGCGGTGGCGCAAATCAATGCAATGGAACACCAAGTAACGCCAACGACTTCGAAGTTTCCATCGATGTCGCAGGAAGGCGTAGTACCTGACACATCGAAATTGTATACACCGCTGAAGCCGCCGGAAAATCCTGTAGGGCATAGTCCGAGATCTTTACTGTTGACGAATTCTTCACCTTTATGTGGGACTTCGCGCCAAGACTGCTTGCCTAAATTTTCGCTGTCTCCGATTCCGATCCTTAACCAGGAATCTAACAAAAAATCGTCACTTCGGTCTGTAACATTTAGGGTTCAGAAGGAGGTGAATATTAATGAACCAGTCGATCCTTATGAATTCGATTATACGCCATGGTTAACAGAGGGATCAAGATACCAAGTCGTCATAAAACGGTTCATTGGAGAAATCTGGTAGACCATTCTGGTTGAAGAAGTTAACTTTTTCACTAACGTCAGGGAGATAGTGCAAGAGGCGGGGCCTTGCGCCACTCCTGTGGAACAAAAAAAGGTCAAGGGGGGTGTAGTTTGCCTCGTACGTATAGATAATAGTCAATGGTATAGGGACAAAATCTGCGAACTGAATGGACAATCAGCGAAAATGATCCTGTTAGATGAGGGACGGTTCGTCCAGGTTGAAGTTGACTTGCTTTTCGACGCTCCTGCCCATATAATCAACTTGCCAATTTATCTCAGAAAGTGCTCCGTGACCACGGACTTTGGATTGGATAAAAAGATTCTGAAAAAATTTTTAAAGCAGTTAACGAAAGGCGAAGAGTATATATTGCTGTGGATGTCCATATCCGAGGCAATTGACAACAACTATTATAAAGTGGAGGTAGACGCCTCTCTCCCTCTTCGTGATTTATGGGAACTGAAGCAGTTATCAAAAAGTAAGAATTCGTTCAGTAAATATCATATTAAAATGTATGTGGGCGAATCCACGAAATGTTGAACAAAGATCTGGCCTCAAAATTTTCATCATTGCCTGTTTTTTCCTATTTCGATTACATATATTGTAACGTTCCGACCTTATACCCCCCTATCCTTTATCCTTTTTCCTTCCCAATCATGATTCTCGATGATGAATACGTCAAGAGACCCACATAAGAGTGCATAGCGCACTGTGGATGTGCATAACAGTATCTGCGAGAACTCCTCAATAATCCTATCGACCTCTCACAGCGACGCCGATAAAGGAAAGGGAAGACAGGACCTTTAATTCTCTAATATTGCATAATTCCCTTGAAACTAGTCACAGCGACAGACATGAGGAAGTAATATTGGAAATAATTACCTTTAACATTCCTAGAATCCGAAATACAGTCGACAGACTGAAATCAAAACAAACAAGTGCCCAGACACTATAAGCCGGCACGCGGCGAAGACAATAGAAATACCAGTAAGCCGGTACTGAAAGAAAACCGCTAATTGAATCAGTCAAAACAAACAATCAAATCAAGTCGTAAATTAAAATATTGATTCCAAAAAGCGACGTTAACACCTCGGGTGGATAAAAATCGTTATCCCCA